AGCTCAGATCCGCAGGGATCATATGAGATTTGGATGGGATGCTCAAGTAAATTTAATGATAACGCACCGGGCTTCGAATCCGAAGGAATTCTATTTGATGTCCACCGGTTTGATTTCATTTGCTTGACATAAGGTGCAAACTCTGTGCTTTTTTATTTTACTCACAGGCATTGAATCCACTTTTTTGTATTTCCCAATCTTTCGGCTAGAAGGTAACTATATACAAGCGCTGTGTGTTCAATAGTAAAGAGCAGACAGTTTACACACATAGATGGTCAGTGTGTTTATTTCGTTCAACATTATGGAGTATAACCTTTGTGCTTCCAGCCATTCCACAGGAAGTACATACACACAGTGTACCCCCACCAAAATGTTTCAAACCAGCTATCTAACACGTGTTGTGGTTTCTCTTGTTTGCAGCATGCCATACTTCTATCACGTGTTTCGTCATATTCCGATACCCAGCAAGAAAGGTGATCCCTAATTTCCACCATACGTTAATCATTACCATTGTGTTTTCCTAACATTTCCGAGCACCTCCCGCTGTCATAATCTACTAAATACGCAAGGTGTTTTAACGATTATATTGCGAGGCGTGTGACATCTTCATGTTTTACAGTGGCGCACACTCACACTCAATACACCAGCGTTGTCTACAGGGATTTGCGCCATGGAGCACGCGAAACGTGTGTTCCGCGGGCTCCGAATATTTGAACCAGTGTTTCCCGTACAAGTCTACAAATTCAAATTATTCCAATACAAGGCGTTGTGTTCTTAAATTCCATGTGTTTTTCAAGGTTACGGGCCGCGCTGCCAGCCGACGGGCGGCAAGCCGCGAGACAACGTCAATTTATCCCAGCGAAGAGCCAAAACATATGCAGTTGTGAGTGCCACGTTGTGGGTACCGCTTTCTGTTGTGCTCCCTGAGGGGCCACGACCCTGTTGAGGGGTATGCCGGAACGGGCGGGGGGACGCATGCGGACCATGCAAATGGGGCTTGCGGTGGAATTCCTGATGGGGCCAGGATCCTCGTGAGAGGTGTACCGAAATTGGCGGGGGGACGCATGCGGACCCTGCCACTGGGGTCTTGGGGCCGCGATCCTCGTGAGGGGTGTTCTGAAATGGGCGGGGGGACGCATGCGGATCCTGTCACTGGGGCATTCGGTGGAGTACGCGGTCCTTGTCACTGGGGCCTTCAGGGGAGCTTCCTATGGGCCAGGATTCTCGTAAAGGGTGTGCACATGTTGGGGGACGCATGCGGACCCTGCGACTGGGGCCTTCAGTGGAGCTCCCTGTGGGGTCACGATCCTCGTGCGGGGTGTGCAGAACCCCGAAATGGGTGGGGGTACGCATGCGGACCCTGTCGCTGGGGCGCTGGGCTTGTCGGTGGAGCTTCCTATGGGGCCACGGTCCTCGTGCGGGCTGTGCCGGAATGTGCGGGGGAACGCATGCGGACCCTGCCGCTTGGGCTTTCAGTGGAGCTCTCTACATGGCCACGAAACTTGCGAGAGATGTGCCGAAGTGATGGACATGAGGAGAGCAGGGGCAGATTTTGAAGAAGGGAGGAGGGGGCGGAGGAATGAGGGAGTCGACGAGGGCCGCTGTCTCTTCAAAACGAGGGCCAAACACCAAAGGGTGGTTGGGAATTCTTGTAACATAGCGTTTTCCAACAGTCTTGATTGAGCGATGTGTCCCATGATTCCGAAACAACAGAAGATACTGCAGCGTTTGTGAATTATCCGTTCAACGGGAATCACTCACATAGAAACGATGTGTTTTAACCGGGGAAGAAGGGGGAGAAGGCAAAGGAAACGGAAGAAGACGAGACTAAGTGATATGAGAAAGCATTGAGAAATTAGGGGCGGAGACAGGTGTAAGGGCAGCAGAGGAGGAGGAGGAGGAGGAGGAGGAGGAGGAGGAAGAAGAGGAGGAGCAGGAGAGGAGGATAAAGAGGACGGGGGGAGGAGGAGGGGGATGGGGAGGCGACGACGACGAGTGAGGCGGAGGGGGAGGGTGGCAAGGTGGTTTGAGGCTCTGCCACGCCCACACGCGGATGACTTTGCAGCCTCGCTGATAGCACGAGCGAAAACGAGAGCCGCAGAACATGGCGCAGCTGTTGCTAGAACCTGAGCGCGCGAATCGCGCGCGTGGTTCTAGTATGGGTGTACATATATGTATATGTATATATATATATATATTCCCACCTGATGCGCTCCGCACGATTCGGTCCCACAAACACAACCAATTCTACACAACCGAAGAGCGACACCGATTCGAAACATTGGAACGTCATCCGGCGCAGTAATCACGAGGAACGGGCGGGGTGCAATTGACCCAGACTACGCCGCAGATGGAAGACACGCAGTGTCTCCGAGATATATGCATGAGGACAACAGTGTGATCGAAGGATGCATCCGTTTGGAACCTTGCCTGTCGCTCTGATCTGCTCCCCTGCTGTCGCCCAGCTTTTCGCTGCGGCTGAGATCCGACGGCGCGAAAAAAAACGAGCCCCCAAGACGGCTCCAAGACGATGCAAGAAGGCCCCAAGACGGCCCAAGAGCGCCCCGAGGGAGCCCAAGAGAGCCCCAAGATTGCCCGAAAAGCAGCCTGACAGGGAGAACGCAAATCGACGAAGAGGCCCCAAGGGTTGCCCCAAGAGGCCCCCAAACAGCCCCCCGGCGGCCTCCAAGCTGCCTCCCACGAGCCCCCTGCACGCCTCTGAGGCCCCCCCCCCCCGATTCCTGCGCACTAGATGTTGGGAGGCCCCACTTGGAAACAACAGGAAATCCAGTGATTCTCTTTTCGTTCAAGCTCATTCCGAGCCCAATCAAGACTCCGGGATCACGCTGCACCTATTTTTCTGGAGTGCTGTTGAACTCTCTGACGCTGTATTGGCACTCTCTTGGGTCGTCTTCTTGTCCTCTCGGCTGCCCCTGAAACCACAGTAAAAATCGAGATTCCATGAGTTCACCTGTCCAGCCTAGCTAGAATGTCAGCGCGCGCGCGCCAAGAAAAAGACAAAAGAGAGGACCTGCCCAAGCCTTTCGAGCGCTTTGCCTCAAAATGGCTCCAAGGTTCTCGCAAAGGTTCTCGAGGCGCCCCCCAGATGCCTTCAGAGATTCCAGGGAGGCTTCCAGGAGGCACCAAGATTTTCACACGAGGCCCAGAAAGACTCCTAAGACGCCGCCAAGAGGCCCCCAGAGGCGTCCCAACAGTCCATGGCCTGTATCCAGGAAACTTCTGACGCACGTCCCAGGCACGGCAGTTTGAACAAGGGAATTCCAAGAATAACCTTTTTTCGAACTCACCCCCTACTTACTGTTGCACACTGGCCATCATTAAGGTCCACGTCGAAATTTATGATTTCGTGGTTTCCGCATTTCTCCTTCTAAACGCTCCCGATTCTTGCGCAGGGACTTCAAGAAGGTCGTTAGATGCACAAGGCACTTCAACAGTTGAGCTTCCATGCGTCAGCCTGTCGAGCCTGGGTAGAACTTGAGCGCGCGCGAAGCGCGCGCAATGGTCCTAGTGCATGTATGGGTATGTAAGCATGAATGCCTGCATGCTCGCATACATGTATGTATGTATGTATGTATGGATGTATGTATGTATGTATGCATGTATGTATGTGTGTATGTATGTATGTCTGTCTGTCTGTCTGTCTGTCTGTCTGTCTGTATGCATCTATGTATGCATGTACGTATGTATTTATGCATGCATGCATGCATGCATGGATGGATGTATGTATGTATGTTATGGTATGGTATGGTATGGTATGGTATGGTATGTTATGGTATGTTGTGTTATGTTATGTTATGTTATGTTATGTTATGTTATGTTATGGTATGGTATGGTATGGTATGGTATGGTATGGTATGGTATGGTATGGTATGGTATGGTATGGTATGTATGTATTTATGTATGTATGTGTGTGTGTGTATGTATGTATGTATGTATGTATGTATGTATGTATGTATGTATGTATGTATGTATGTATGCATGTGTATATATATATATATATGTATATATCCCTGGGGGCGAGGCCAGGGGCCCCAGGACAGGTGCCTCGACCCCCCATGGGGGAACGGGGAGGGCCTGGAGCCTCCCTGGAGCAGCCCAGGCGGCCCAAGAGTGCCCCAAGAGCGCTCTACGACAGGCCCAGCAGGCTCCAAGAGGCCCAAGGGGGCGCCAAGAGGGCCCCACAAGATGCCCAAGATAAGCCCAAGCCAGCCAAAGAGGCCCCCAAGCCGCTCCAAGAGGCCTCCAAGAGGCCCCCCCAGAGGGCCCCAAGAGGCCCAAATCGTTTATTTTACGAAGGTTTTGGACACATTTTGCCTTTCCCGCCTTTTCAGCTTTCCAACGCTCCACGACTGCTCAAAGGCCCCCCGCGGACGCCCCAAGACAGCCCAAGAGGCTTCCAAGAGGGGCTCAAGACAACTCTGGAGGGCCCCAAGACAGCCCAAGACGCGCCCAAGACGGGCGAAGAGAGGCCCAAGACGGCCCCAAGAGGGCCCCAAGACAGCCCAAGAGGCTTCCAAGAGGGGCTCAAGACAACTCTGGAGGGCCCCAAGACGGCCCAAGACGCGCCCAAGACGGGCGAAGAGAGGCCCAAGACGGCCCCAAGAGGGCCCCAAGACAGCCCAAGAGGCTTCCAAGAGGGGCTCAAGACAACTCTGGAGGGCCCCAAGACGGCCCAAGACGCGCCCAAGACGGGCCCAAGACGGCCCCAAGAGGGCCCCAAGAGGGGAACCGCGAACCGGAAATTCGAGCCTCCCGCCTCCACAGGGCTCCGGGAGGCCCCAAAGGGGCCCCAAGAGGCTCCAGGAGACCGCCAAGAGGCACCCAGGAGGCCCGGTGCCCGAAAACAGCTGCCCCGACCCTCCATGAGGGTACCGGGGCTCATTTTCTCTTTGGAGATAGTTTATCGGGTTGGCCTGTCAATTTGGTGATCCGCAACCGTTGGCTCTAATCAGCCGCGCGAGCCGGTAGTTCGCCCCTCTATGGAGTGGGCGAGGGCTGCCGCTGCTGGCGCCGGCGGCTTGGCGCACCTGGGCAGCCTGTGGTACGACCAGCGCTGTACCTGCCAAGTCGAGTTGGGAGACGGTTTCTCGGTGGACCGTGAGCTGCTGCGCCTGCTGGAAGGGCAGCTGCAGAGGTGCGGGCCCGCCAACCTCACGGTGCCGGCGCCGTGCCCGCCCCCAGAGTGCTCGGGCTATCCTGGGCTGGTGGTCCTCCTGGTGGCGGTGCTGGCTTTCCTGGCAGGGTTCGCCGCTGCTGCCTCCTGTGGCTGGTGGTGCTTGCGTCGCTCGGAGTGTCGTGCCACGTCGGAGAGCGCAGAGACTCCGTACCTGACCGACGGAAGCGATGTCAGAGCATCTTCGCCAGGGCCAGCGAGTGCTCGTCTCGTCTCTTACGACGAGGACCCGCGCGAGCTGTTGTGGCATGAGCGCCTTCTGTGCGCGCACGTGCACGAAGGCTCCTGGGTGGTGACCACACCCGAGAGAGACATGTATCTCGAGGACCTCCAGGAGGGCGTCGAGAGCCTCGTCTTGCTGGGCCCCATGGGAGGCTTGCCGATCGGGTGGAACCGTGGGCCTGCACACCTGTTCAGGAACTCGTCCCAGGGCCCGCTGCGCCGCGAGGAGAGTTTGCGGCTCCAGGCGGATGGCGCGGAGCTGGCCCTGCAGGAGAGGCGTGAGCTGGGCCTGGCCGCTTCTCCGCCGCTGCCGCCGCCCACGGGCGCGCCCCCGCCGCTGGCGCTGGAGGGCGTGCCGAGCTCGGGCGATGGAGGATGGCGGTACTCGGAGAACCGCGGTGGTGCTCGGCTGGGCGAGCGCGTCGGCGACGCGGAGCTGGAGGCAGGCTGCCATCGCGGAGATCGTGGAGTGGCCCTGGTTGGCGACGTCTTCGTGGCTTGCTCGTTCTTCCGGCCGGGCCAGCAGATGCCTACGCCTAGGGAAGTGGAGGCGGCGGAGCCTGTGTCCAACGAGCTGCGCACCCTCCCGGTGAAGTACGAGACGGCCAGCCAGCGGCATCGCTCCTACAAGGAGGCCGCATCGCTGACCACCACGACGGCGTTCGAGGGCTGGCCGATCAGCGGCCCGAGGGCGGCGGAATGGCTGGCGCGGGAGATCGCTCGGCAGGAGCTCACGCCCGTGCGCCGCCACTTCTGGTGGAGACAGCTGCTGGGCTTGGGCCCCAGCGTTTGGGGCGTCGGAGAGCACGAGTCCTTGAGCCGGCTCTTCGAGTACGCGCTGACGTACGACCAGCTGAACTTCGGCGAGCTGGCGTCGCTGGAGCTTGCAGGCAGGCGATACCAGCTGCTCGAGGAGAGGTACGCCCGCATGCCGATCGCGGCGACGGCGGGTGGCGACAGCGGCCACCTCGACAACGACAGGCTGTTCATGGGCGAGGAGGGCCGCCATGGCCGCGCGCTTGTGGCGCCTGCCCTAGAGTCCTGGATCTCCCAGAAGCTGTCCGAGGAGAGCGCGGTGCTCAAGGAGCGCCGCAAGGCGAAGGAGGAGCGGCAGCTGGCCCGCTCGACCGATGTTGCCCCAGGTGTTGGAAGCGGCAAGAACGGCGAGAAGCCCCCCAGGCGCCCGAAGAAGAATGGTGGCGGGCCGGGGGGTGGCGCTGCTTGAGCTGCCACGGGCGGCGGAGGCCCCCGGCCGCCGCCCATTCTGCAGAGGGGGGAGCTGCCCGCTTGAGGAGGATGGCGGGCCGCCTCGGTGTTGCAGGTGAAGGCCTAGACTGGGCTCGGGACTTGCTGCCGCTGCCATCTGGGCGCTGCCTGGCTGACCTCCTGGAGGGACTCTCGCCAGCTGGCCTGGGTGTGTCGCGCTGTGCGGATCGGCGGCGCTCGCTCCGACGGGCTGCCGAGGCGCGGCTGCAGGGCGGCATCTCGACGCTCGACGTGCTGGGCGGCCGCGGCGAGGAGTGGGGCCCCAAAGTGCTGCCAGGTGCTATCCAGCGCCAGGCTATGGCCAGCTTGGCCCGGGCCTACTTTGCCGTGCCGCCGCCGCCCGACGACCTCACCGCCTCGGGAGCGTGGTCTGCGCTTCGGGGCTGCGGTTCCGGCTACGCCGTTGCAGGTGTTGTCGCCGGAGAGTTCGCGACCTACCAGCGCGGCAGGCTTGCCCTGCCAGCGGTCGGTAACCAGGCGATCGACCTCGTCAGTTGCCTGCCCGACCACTACCAGAAGTTGCTGGAGGATAGTGGCCGCGCTATTCGGCGACCAGCAGTGTGTACAAAGGACGTGGCGGCAGAGGTGGGCGAGTTGGGCCCTGCGATGGATCCCATCCTGGCTAGGTCGCCCAGCAAGTACGCCGAGTTTTTGATGTCTGCATACGAATCGGGCGTCGTCGAGCCGGCGACTGAAGTTCGCAGTTTTGTGGGAGTCTTCTTTGTGCGTAAGAAGGACGGCTCGTTGCGGATCATCTTCGGTCCTCGAAAGACGAACTCGCAGTTTGTACCTCCAGATAGTGTTGCTCTGGCTTCTCCTGAGGCCCTGGGTGATCTTGAGTTGCCAGGCCAGCGGTTGTGGGTCAGTGAGGGCGATGTCGAGAACTGCTACTGCCAGTTCCTGCTGCCTGACGACCTGAGGGCCGACTTCGTGCTACCTGCGGTGCCTCGGAAGCTGCTGCCGCGGAGTCTGCGCCGCTTGCTTCCGCCCGGGAACGACTTCGTTCACTTCCAGGTGCGCGTGGTGCCGATGGGCTGGAGCTGGGCCGCGGCGCTGGCGCAGGCGGCGAACGGGGAGCTGCTGCGAGCTGGTCCGCAAGGGGCCCGCCGCTGGATCTGCAATCGCCGCTGCGCGCCTGCTGTCGCCGGGCGTGAGCCCGCTGCTCTCCTGTACATCGACAACTTCGCCTCGCTGGGGGCTGTAAAGGAGGCAGTCCAGCTCGACAGCGACTCGATGGAGAGGCAGCTGAGGGGACGCGGTCTGACTACTCACGACATCTCGGGGCCGCAAGTTGACGTGGACCTGCTCGGGTTCCACATCGACGGGGTGAAGGGGGCGATTCACATCGCGCCCAGGCGGTTCTGGAGGCTGGTCATGAGTCTGGACTATATCCTGAAGCACCCCCTCCTGACGGGAGCCGAGCTAGAGCGGCTGATCGGGCATTTGACGTACGTGCTGCTGCTACGACGCGAGGTGCTCAGCTTGCTCAGTGCATCCTACGTCTTTGTCAGCAAGTGCTACACTCGGCGCGTGCGGCTCTGGCCTTCGGTGCGCCGAGAGCTGGCCTGGATGCGAGCGCTGCTGCCGCTGGTGTGGGCGGATCTGCGCGGCGCCTGGGCCCCCAGCGTGATGGCCGTGGACGCCTCGATGTCTGGCTTGGGCGCGGTGGAGCGCTCCGCGGACCCACGCGGCGTCGGGCGCATCGGCCGAGTTAGAGAGCGCTGGAGGTTCAAGGAGCGCGAGCTGGTGGCCGAAGGCTCGCGTGCACGCGCCTTGCGTGAAGGCGCCGTCGGCGACTCCCCGTTCCCCGACGTGCCGTCGGACTTCTGCAAGGCCGCCTCGTGGAAGACCGTGGCCTCGAGACGGTGGCGCCATCGTGCCCCCATCCACCTTCTGGAGGGCGAGGCGCTGCTGTGGGCCATGCGGCGGCAGGTGCGGCGAGTGGCGCATCATGGGTGCAGGCTTCTCTTTTTGTCAGACAGCATGTGTATTTGCTGTGCAGTTGCAAAAGGAAGAGCCTCGGACTTTCCTATCCTCGCTCAGTTGAGACACTTCACAGCTCTTCAGCTCGCATCGTCTTGTCGTGTGTCAGTGCGATGGATTCCTTCAGAGTGGAACCCCGCCGACGGTCCTTCAAGGCGGTTCGAGCCTCGCCGTTTGCGGGGCGATGGAGCGCCGTCGGCTCGTGGCGGCCGCACCGAGTGCGCAGCCGCTGCTTGCGCCGAGTGCGCCGGCGAGCGGCCATGGGCGGAAGCGCCTCCTGGGCTCGCCGGGCCGCGCGCGCTCGGGTCAGGCGAGGGCCAGTGCCAGACGCCCCCGGCCCGCTGCCGCGACCCGGAGGTCGACGGCCTCGCCGTGGCACCGCCTCCTGGGCTCGAGCGTGTCAGGACTGGAGCTGGAGGCGGTGAGGCCCTCTACCCAGCAGAACTACCTGAAGTGCCTCAGTGGCCTCTGCAACTGGCTCGGAGTGGAGACGCTGCCCAGCTGGAGCGCGCTGGAGTGGGACGACGCACTGCTGCAGTACCTGAACGACGAGTTCGCGCAGGGAGTGCGGCCGAACAGGGCTGCGAAGCTGTTGTCGGCGGTGCTCTGGGCGCGACCGGCGCTGGGGCGGCCCTTGCGGGTGGTGTTGCCGAGGGGCAGCCGGGCGCTGCTGGGCTGGAAGCGCATGCGGCCTGGCCGCTCTCGCCCGCCGCTCCCTTGGCTGGTGCTCTGCGGCGTGCTGGAGCTCCTGCTGCTGAAGCGGGAGGTGGCGATGGCGTGCGCTCTCTGCCTCATGTTCCACTGCTACCTTCGGCCCGGAGAGCTCCTGGCGATGAAGGCGTTTCAGCTGGTGCCGCCTGCGGCCGGGCTGCAGGGCGGGTTTCGCTGGTGGACGCTGCTGCTTCATCCAGAGGAGCTGCTGGTGCCCAGCAAGACGGGCGAGCTGGACGACTCGCTGCCGCTGGGCGCGCCCGAGCTCCAATGGCTTGCCCCCGCGCTCAGGGATCTGAAGGCGCGGCTGGAGCCCCGCGAGCCGCTGTGGAGTTTCGGCTACGCGCAGCTGCGCGAGGAGCTCGAGAACGCGCTGGCGGTGCTGGGACTTCAAAGCCTCGGCGCCACGCTGCGCTGCCCACGGCGCGGAGGAGCAAGCCACGATCGAATCGTGGGAAGGAGGTCGCTCGAGCAGAGAGGCAGGTGGCGAGCTCGCCTGTCCGCGCGGAGGTACGAGAAGCACGGCCGCCTGGCGCTGCAAGTGGCGAAGGTGCCGCCCGTGGTGCAGGAGCGGCTGCGACTCAGCACGCAGAGGCTGCCACAGCTGTTCGCCAGCTGCTCAACGCGACGCTCCACAGAGTGCGCCTGGGGCGAAATAGGGTCGCCGTCGAGGTCTTCGCTGGGTCAGGCCGCCTCGCCTCGGCGCTTCGTGCCAGAGGAATCCCCACGGTCGAGTGGGACATCACTCGAGGAGCGCAGTTTGATCTCACCAAGGCGTCCAGTGTCGAAGTTCTGAAAGGATGGATTCTCAGTGGTGAGGTGAGCATCTTGTGGTTAGGAACCCCGTGCACTTCTTTCTCGTTGGCCCGTGGGTACACCAAGTCTGGGCCAGGACCTTCGAGGTCCAAAGAGTTTCCTCTTGGACTGCCAGGCCTCTCCGGTCCCGATCAAATGCGAGTGCAGTTGGGTAACCGTTTGATGCGTGTCTCTGTTGTGTTTGCTAAGCTAGCTCACACCAGAGGGATCCCTGGAGGGCTCGAGAATCCAGTTTTTTCTCGTCTTTGGTTGCGTCCGCCTGTGCTAGGTCTCGGTAGGCTCCCCAATGTTCACGATGTTTTCACTGACTTTTGTATGTGGGGTGAGCCGTGGCGTAAACGAACACGGCTTCGCCTCTGGCACGTTTCTCCGGAGCTTCTTGGGCGAAAGTGCCACGGTAAAGGCATTTGTGAGAGGTCCCAGAGGCCTCACCAAGTGTTAGAGGGCAAGGCCCCCGGTGGCCAGTTTTGGACTGCAGTAGCACAGCCTTACCCCAAGGTGCTGTGCAAGATCCTTGCCAAGTCTCTTGTAGATGCGTCAAATAATCGTAGGCTCTCTCGGTTGTGGGACATTTGTAAATGCTAGGCGGTATTACCAGTACACTAATGAATCTGGACGTGAATATGGCCCAGAGTTTTTTACTTGTTCGGTGCTGCTGCGTTCTGTTGTCACTGTTGCCGATGCCTCGCCCCAGCGCCCTCTCAAGCTTGTGCTGGAGAAAAACAGAAGGCCTTGGAGATAGTTTATCGGGTTGGCCTGTCAATTTGGTGATCCGCAACCGTTGGCTCTAATCAGCCGCGCGAGCCGCCCGACCCTCCCTCCCTTCTCTGCTCTTCCGCCTTTCAATCCCACACGAATTCAGAATTTAACAGGCCCAGAGTTTTTTACTTGTTCGATGCTGCTGCGTTCTGTTGTCACTGTTGCCGATGCCTCGCCCCAGCGCCCTCTCAAGCTTGTGCCGGAGAAAAATAGAAGGCCATGTTTTTACCTTGTTTCCGCGTCCTGGGCCTCGGAGGCCGCCGCCTCCGACCCCCATGGGAGGACGGGGCGGCCGGGGAGGTCCAAAATAGTCCAGGAGGGCCTCCGGAGGCTCCCAAGACGACCCAAGCGGGCCCCGAGTCGCCGAAAAACCGCTCCGGGACGCCCAAGATAGGCCCAAGACGGCCCGAGAGGCCCCCCAAGGCACTCCACAACGCTTCAAGACGCTTCCCCAGAGCGCTTCAAGAGGCCGAAATCGTCAATTTTACGAAGGTTTTCGAACGATTTTGGCCTTCCAGCCTTTTCGGCAGTCCGACGTTCCAAGACGGCTCAATAGGCCCCCAAAAGCGCCCCAAGACGGCCCAAAAGGGCCCAAGACGGCCCCAGAGTCGCCCAAGACAGCTCAACAGAGCCCCAAGACGGCCCCGAGATGCGCCCAAGACGGGGACCACGACTCCAAAATTCGACCCTCCCGCTTGAAGAGTGCCCCAAGAGGCCCCAGGAGGCCCCCAAGTGGCACCCAGGAGGCCCAAACCAAGCCTAAAGAGGCCACAAAACAGCCCCGAGGAGGCCCCACAACGGTCCCAAAACGGCTACCGAGAAGCTGCGAAACTGCCTTCACGACGTCCCCGACAGGCCAACCACGAGATCCAAACCAACACCCATGAGGCCTCTGACCCACCACCCAGGGCACGGTGGCGGGAGCAGTGACAGCACTTGTGCACAGCATGTTCCGGCGGGAGCCTTCCGGAACACGCTGCAGGAGGAGGAGGGAGATCAGGAGGAGGAGGGGGACGAGGAGGAGGAGGAAGAGGCCTCCAAGACAGCTCCAAGATAGCCGAAGAGGCTTCCAAGAGGGCCCTGGGCGCCCCTCCGTAGCCATTTTGGCTCAAGCCTTTGTGGCCCAAGATTGTTGGACTCGAGAGCGTCCTTCCTGTGCCACGCCTGGGCTAACCGGCTTCGGGCAATGGCTCCCACATCATGCGAAAGCTTCATGTTCATGTGCCTGGCGTGTGCGGGGCTGGCCCTGACGTGGTGGTGCAACCTGACGATGCAGCCCATTCGTGATATGTTGTTGAAGCCATGGGTGCTGCTTGATTCGGGTCACGGTCGTCGGGTAGTCCTTGAGTTCTTCTTTGAGCAGACAGCCAACTCAACATCAACAGCTGCCTGCGTGTCATTATTACTGTCTGTTGGTCCGATCGTTATCACAAATTGCCGCGCAACAATGGGCAACCTTCCGACACGCTTGCTGTTCCACTATCTTGGTCTGACAGTTGCCGTCGCATTTTCGTTTCCACTGCAGTGCGCACTATGCCAGCAGCCACAGAGACCTCCTGCCGATGATAGGATGGTGTTGACCTCCACACTCACCATTGGAGGTATTGGAACGTTTGTGCTGCTGGGCACACGCAGCGTAGCTGGCGCCACTACCTGGTGCTATGTTCTCACAGCAGTTGTGCCTCTCATCTACGACCGACTTGCCGCAACATCTGTACCCACAAGCCTTCAGGCCCTTGGCACTATCAATATGTTGGTGTGCGCTGCTTTCTGGGCCAACGCTCTGTGGCAGGAAGACGGCAGCCCATGGGTGTCTCCGGCAACTGCCTCGATCTTCTGGGATCTTGCAGTCGTGTCTATTTGCTCGTGCGCGTGGACTGCGAAGCACGTCGGCGACTTCGGGCTCGCGCTGCTCGGGCTCGCCTGCCCGGCCGCCTGCATCCCCTTCGCGTTCGCGCGCCTGGCCGAGAGGGCTGCGGAGGGGTACGTGCCTGTGGCCGAGTGAAGATCACGAGCGGTGCTTAGCTCGCCGAATCGAGCTAGCATCCTTGCCAGCCATCCTCTTCCGACCGTCCCGTTTTGTCGGGTTCCCTATCTTCCTCACTTTTCGGGCTGAGGTGCACGATTTCGCCGTCGGCGAGAGGTTCCAGTCCACTTAATACCAACTTTTTACAATTTTTGTACAAGTGGACCGTCCAACTTCTCTGCGCGGCTCGCGCCAATTTGCACCATTTTCAATGGCTGTCCGTTGTCCAGCGTTTCTGAGACTTCTGTGAAGGGTCGCGCCGATCAGCACTACTCTCAAATTGTCTGTTTTACACAGCTTCTGAAACTTTGTGCTTGGCTTGTGCCACTTTTCACAACTTCCAGTGGCTGTCTGGCAGCATCTGGTTGCTATTCAAGCCACCGCTTTGAGGCTGCTGCGTGGGTCCTATCCCCCAGCATGTCTGTAATGCGGTCCGTCCACGAGAGCCGCCGCAGGTTCCTGGCGCCCAGCTGTGAGGCGTGCATCTCGAACCCGTGCTCGAGCGGAAGCCCCTATTCCGCAGAAAAAAAAAGCCTTGGGCGGCCCATGAGGGCCCAAAGGCGGTGCCTGAGGCGCCCAAGACGGCCCGAGAGAGCCCCAAGACGGCCCCAAGAGAGGCCCAAGAAGGGAAACACGAACCGAGAATCCGAGCTTTCTACCCCGAGAGGTTCTCGGGAAGTCCCAAGAGGCCTCCAATCGGATCCAAGAGGCCTCCAAGAAGCTCCCAAGAGGGCCGACGAGGTTCCAAGAGATCTCCCAGTGTGACCCCAAGAGGCCCAACTCATTGTTTTACGATTGGGCTTTTACGGGTTTTACTTTTTTCGGCCTTTTGGCATCCCGATGCTCCAAGACGGCCCAAGAGGCTTCCAATACCGCTTCCATATAGAGGAAGAGGCCTCCAAGAGGGCCCCAAGACGGCCCGCGAGGGCCCCAAGACGGTGCTTGGGGCGCCCAAGACGGCCCGAGAGGGCCCCAAGAGCCACAAGAGAGGCCCAAGAAGGGGAACGCGACCCAACAGCAGAGCGTTCCCCCCAAAAGGCCCACAGGAGGCCAAAGCTCCCCGAGGGCCTAAAAGGCCCCTAGGAGACGTCCAAGAGGCTTTAAAATAGCCCAATAGTGGCCTCGATGCGTCAAAACTGCTTCCAGGAGGCCCCCGGGAGGCTTCCGGATTGCCTCAATCTGGCCGCAGGTGGCCTCAAGTCGGGCCTCCACGCAGCCAAGACGGCTAATGACGGCTTCACATTGCAGAACCGATGCCCCCAAGGGACCCTCAGACGCCCCCCCAAGAAGCACCCAAGAGGTGCCTCCAACAGCCAGTTGACGAAGCATGCGGAACACCCCAGAAGCTCCTCAGATGTCGTCGCGCGCCTGTGCTTGATAGCGTTGCCCAAGATCGTCCAGCGCCCCTCCGGCCTGGGCTAGAACCTTAGCGCGCGCTCAGGATGGCCTGGACAGTATTCCGAGACAGAGTGAGAAAGAGAGGGAGAAGGAGAGAGAGCGACAGAGCGCGAGAGAGCGTGCGAGAGAGAGAGAGAGAAGGAGACAGAGAAGGAGAGAGAGAGAGAGAGAGAGAGCTCGACGCGTGCCGCACCAGAGCCGCGGGCGGGGCGCCTCCCCCCCCCCCCCGAGCGAGGGCTGTGGGCCGCAGCCGCGAGGGCTCTGCAGTGCCAGCCTTGCCCGCCTAGGGGCGCCGCGAGCGGGGAGGGGCGGTGGGGGGGTCGCGTCGAGGGAAGACAGGACCGTGACCCGTTTGTGAGAATCGTGCGGCAGGAGGGTTTTTGCCCAGTCGCGGCCTCCTGGGGCCCCCGCCGGGCCTCGGGACCGTCATATTGCGACTCACGCCCGAAATGGGTACGGAAAGAATGGGTACAATGCCCAACAGCAGTTCCTGTTCATTTTGAACAGGACTCGCTGTCCGCGCCGCCGCGGCCTGTGTCCATTCGAGACAGAAGGCCGCCTGCCCAACAGCGGCCGCTGTTGGTTTGGGACAGCATTTGTTGTTGGGCATTGTACCCACGCTTTCCGTGCCCATTTCGGGCGTCCAAAGGGATGAAGAGCCGGTCCTGGGGAGTGGGTCGAGGCCTCCAGGGAACGACGTCAGGGCAAGAAAATCATGACGTCGGGGGCTGGGCCCTGCCCTCGTAAATTCTCCCCGGAGGCCCTCGTCGCCTCCGCTGGAGAGTTACTCCAGCGGGTCGGAGCGGGGGTCGCGGATTTTTTCCCGATGCCGATCTTGGTCATGGTCCATGTTGGCCGTCGCCGCTCCGCGAGAATGACCCACGAATTGACGCTGACCAATGTCGGCGTGCATCATGCGCGCCCGCGCCCCCGAGGTGGCCGACTTCGCCAGGGGCGGACTCGAACTCCCAGGGCGGTTCGCCGCGCTAGATGGCATGCGCGTCGCTTTCTGGCGGCATGTCAGGCGTCGTCGTTGACGCGCGCGTATGGGCCGACCTGGGGCGCGCGATTCGCGCGGGACTCGGCCTGGCGAGCCATGCAGGCGAAACTCAAAACCTAGAGGAACGGCTGTCCGCTCCATTATATGAGGCAAGAGTGGGCAACGGGTCGCGAGTGTCGAACTGTGAAATCCATGCCTACTCGCCACAACTTCGCGCGACGGTGTGACCGCTCAGCACGGCGTGCGCGCTCCGACCGTGCATGGCGCTGCTGACGCGCCCCACGCCTTGTTTGGTATGCAATCCACGCAGTCCAACAACGGGGTGGTTGAGACTGGCGTTAGCCGCGGGCGCGCCTTCCACTCCCCGGGCCGGGCGGGTGCGAGATCGCTTGGGGCCCAGGCGCGACGCGCATCGATTTGGGGCCCGCTCCGAGCGGACAGTTTCGCATCCCAGTCGAAGACGTCGGTGAGCTCCAGCCACGCTCCGTGGGCCGGCCGCGCAAGCCGCCTGCGCTGCTTGCGGTGGCCATCGACGGTCAGGATAACCGCGACGCCGACGGACGAGAACTCAGCAAGCTACAGCTCCAGGTTCCCGATCCGAGTGCGACAGCCACTGGCTCCGCCGGCTGCGACCTGCGCGCCGACGTCAGCATTCCGACTTCAGGTGGTGTTTTAGAACCCATCGGCATAGCAACGCTAGCGCCACCCGGCACATGCATGCGCAATGCGCCGCGCTCAGGTCTCGCTCTCAAGGGCATCGACAACGCCAGAGGCGTAGTGGGCCCTGACTACCGCGGGGCGATTCAGGTTATCGTGTACAACGCCACCCCGCGAAAGCGTGTGGTCGAGCAGAGCCGTCGTATCGACGACAGCGCCGATATCGTGGTCGTCCCTGGCCTATCTGTACCGTCTAGGGTATATCAGGTGGTTTCGGACACTCTGGCATAAACTACCTCGGTCACGACGACATCCCGAGGGATATTGCCATCGCGACTCCCGAAGGTCGCATGGGCAATGTTTTTTTTGCCGTTTTCCCTGAGGGGCCGACCCATCAGGGAATTGTTGATCGGGCCTACATGGCTGGCCCTGTCGAGGTGGCCTGGCAGAGGAGGGCGGCAGCCCAAGGACTCCCACCTTGATCCTAGAACGGGGGTGGGGCGCGTCGCAGGCTTTGCGGGATCGCGATCGCGATATCGTCCACAATGTCGGTTTCGGTCGTGAAGTTTAGTAGTTATCGTGCCCCGCGTTTCAAGTTGGAATTGCCCCGTCGTGAAGCAGACGGCCAGCGCGCGCGTGCTCCTCTCAAGCACGCGCAAGGCATGCCACAAGCCTCGAGCGCTAGGGGCAGAGGACAGCATCATTTATATCCTCCACAATGCTCGCAGGAACTCCTGCATTTAATCAGCGGTGCAAGTGCGGCATCGCGCTGGAGGGTCACGTCGTCGACTGGGCCGCCGCGAATCGGCGGTTGCGCCTTGCCCTAGTGCGCTCGGGGGCGTCGCGTCTAGCACCCTACCGAAGTTGAGTTTCGCTGCGGGCAGCGGCGCGCCGAGGGAATCGCGTCTGTGACGAGGCGCAGCAGCAGCTTCAGCACCGTGCTCGAACGCTACTTCCTGTCTTGCGACTGGAAAGCGCGACGCCGAACTGCGCGCTCAGTGCGCTGAGTTGGGCGCTCAGAACCACAGCGACAAGCGTTGTGTTCAGGGCGATATTCACGGGCAGGCAACTATGCACACGTTTGCGCTGAAAGGTGATGTTGTTCATCCTCGCGCACCGAGCGCGCCGGGGGCGCCCCTGCCCTGCGTCGGGGCACGCGTCAGAAGAACAAGATGAAGGAGGGCGCTGCGCCCAAGGCTCGGAAGCAATTCGTCGAGAACAGGTGCGAGGACTGCGGGTCCGACCACGCTGGCCTCGTCCCTATTTTCTCGGAGCCCCAGCTGTCGGCGAGCCGGGGTGTGCGGGAAATTATGGCGGGGGCGAACTCCATGGCAATATCATATTGGATTTGCCTACGCGGCCCAGGGATCGTCGGCCCCAACCTCCGATTGCCATCAGGCCCTTGCTCGAACCACGTCCGAGGGCAGATGCGCGACCAGAATGCGCATCGAGGCCGACGCCATTCACCGCTTCCTCACCTATCTCACCACGCTCGACTGCGGGGTCGACATCATCGAGGTCAGCGGCGTGGCGGTTTGGGCTAGCTGTCCGACGCCGCTTCTGGTCAACGGCTGCGACCTCAACGACCGAGGCCACCTGCGTGCAGTTGCGAGGTACATGCGGCAGCGCCAACGTAGTGGCCATCAGGGCCCCGCGTGCTGGACATTCGGTCGTCGAGCGACGTGCAACTGCGCGCCCGTCTACGGCGCGCGGCTGCGCTTCTACACGGCGCGACTAGAGTGGGAATTGGACAATGCTTTCGTCAAATGACTGCCCGACCCGTCGTGGCTGTGTCCAGAGACGTCGCAGCTACAATTGCAAGTGCCCGTGGAGCTTGGCGTGGACGAGGTCGTCTTCGACCAGCGCGTGCTCTGACCCTGGGATCGGCGTTGCGGTGGCCGCGGGGGGCGTCGCCAACGCCCCCCCCCCCGGGGGCCGACGCGCAGTTCGGCTCCGCCATGTGCTCGAACATGCACTGGCGCGCCCGCGTCGAGGGCCGCGGCGGCTCAGACGCGCAAGTTTGGCCTTGGAGGTCGGCGCAAACGCTTGCGAGAGCTGTCGTGGATGTGCGTCGCCATCTTGGGCGCTCGCAGTAGACGGACTACGTTCGCGAATGCGACGTCGCCGAGGCGGCCTGTCCAACGGCGGCGACTTGTGCCGCCGAAGGTCAGATCTGGAGTGAGATGGCCGCCGCAGGCGCGCGCTCGCCCGCGCGCTCCAGGGGCCCAACCACGCGGGAGCGCCCGGGCAGTTGCGGGGGAAAGGGCGCAATCGCCCTGCGCCTGCTCGCAACGCAGCAAGTGTGGGTTCGCCGGCCCTCGCGGCAGGCCGCGCCCGCGCGCCGGCCAGCGCCCGCCGGCGCCAGCGCGACCTCGGGTGCCGCTCCGCTCCAGCGACCAACGGGTTCAACTACGTGGGCGAGCCGACTTAGGAGCAGCTGGCGGAGCCTACCTACCACAGCCACGCTCGGGAACACCGGGGGCCAGCTCGTCCTCCGGCGCTGGGGCTCAGAGCAGCGGTTCCGGCAGGTGCGTTGCTGGACCGCAGAGTTCTGGTTCGGCAACTGCGTCGCGCGACCGAACCCGCGAGCCGGGCCAGCGACGGGTGGCGTGCCGAGGCCAGCGTCGTGACGAGCCACCGACTCATCGGTGCGCCATCCGGTTTTGTCTGGCTGAACACGCTTCGACGTCGCCGCGTCATTGCGAGCGGTGCGCGGGGTTTCGCATGAGACGTGCGTGCGAGAGCCGCGCAAACTGCACCTCCGGTGGTGGCGCGCCGCTGAGGGCTGGAGCGCCCAATCTATCAGGTGGCGCTGTATTCGCCCCCCCCATCCTTTTCCGATTCTCGCCAGTTGTCTCCCCAGTGGCGTCGGCATTGGTGCCCGCAGTCCTGCCCCGCCCTGTTCCAGGCGTTTTTTTGTTTGGGGGATCGGTGGATATTTTCCGCGGCTTTATTTTTCCGGGTTGTTTCCCCCGAGTAGTCTGGCTTGCGTGCGCGCGCCAATCCGCCGCGGCCGTTTGCGCGCCTCGCTGGCTGATATTCCAAGGCAGTTTTCAGGTATGCGCTGTCAGTGCCCGCCTGTCTTTTCAAAGTCGGTTCCCCATTGCTTTCCCGACATGTATATGTATGTCTTTATGTGTATATATATATATATATAGATTTCTCTGTGTGTGCGTAGGTCCCCTACCCAGTGCGGCGCATGTCGCCGTCGTTCTACCTCGCCTCGCCGTAGACAGCCCGCCCGCGCTGGCACCTCTCAGATCCATGCGATTGTGGCTTGTGATATTTGGCATTCTTCCAGCGAAGCGCCTTCCCATATATATATATATATATATATATGTATGTGTATTACCGCCCCATAAGGATTGAATCGCACGAGCGCTGCGCGCAGCCCGGGACATCGTCGACGTCGTGCCCACGGCGCTCAATTGCTGTAGGGAATGCCGCAAGTGGCTACCACCGGCGCACCAAACGTTCCCTGCGCCCTGATTTTCATCGCGGCTCAACCCGCCACGGCGAGCGCGATATCCGTTCTCGCAAGGATCGCATGATGCTGCCCTTGGTCTGCTGCGCCTCGCGATGGCGCAGCGGCCAGGAGATCGCTCCCATTGAAGACTGACTGGTCATCGATCCAGATGTTCGGTGCGATGGAGAAGCTTATCGTGGACGGAGAGTGTCGCGCGACTGTCGCCTGCTTCGTGGTGTGAAGCTGCAAGGGGCCCACGTGGATTTCCGTGCTCCGCGTCGGCGCGCTCGTTCCATCGAACGACGCGGGGCTATGCCGCGCCGTGCATTTCGCCGCAGAGGAGCAGCTAGAGCGCGAAGGTATTGTTGCCGACTTCGACTCGCAGCCTCACCCGCGTCGGCGGCGTCATGCCATGCAGCGTCGTCGTAGGGAGGCAGTCGACTGTCCTCCTGCCACCGCTGGACGCTGACGAGTCGGGTGAGGTAACTATCTGGCGACTATGTCGCCTGTGCCGATCCCCCTTCTGGTGGGGAAGTGCGGCCCAGCTTATTGCAGTGGCGAGTCGTTGAGATCGCATTGCAGCGCGCGATTGAAACTGCGCCCATCTCCCGCGTCAGCTGCGCCGCGCGGGCACGGGCCATTGAGTCCGGAGAGGGCGTTCCAACGTTGGCGATCAGGTGGAGGTCCACAGGCCTCCTAACACAGGACGCAACAGGCTGGGCGGGCCCTGGGATTGCCATGTCGGTCGACCCGGCACGAGGCAAAATAGCGGTCAAGTGCTGCCGAGCCGACGTGATCTGCGGGTTGTAGGACGTCCGGCCCTTCGCCGGTGCCGTTTTCGACGACGTGGTACGTGTTTGGCTTAGCTTCCCTGGCCTGGGGCCGAGCGGGGGACCTCATGGAGAACATCATGGCAGGCTGTGGCACCGAGACCTTCGGTCACTGAGCGGATGTCAGGGGCCTGCAGATGACCGCGTAGACGCGGCACTCTGTGCCGCGTATCCCGCAGATGACCACGGCGTCCAGACGTCTGCGCCACGCGTCTACGCGGCCGAGTCCTTCAGACTTGTATACTCACCAGATACACTTGGGCGGCGTCAAGTTCGACGCCCATGCGCTGATCGGCGAACAGTGGAAAGACGCCCGCATCATCCATTCATTTGGGGCGACGAGACGCTTATGGCAGCCGACGCCGGGCAGGGCCCACGTGGGATGCTCGATGATCGCGTCGCCGACGCTCCTGAGGGCGCGACGGCGCCACTCCTGAGGATCTTCATCCGCGCTGTCGGCCATGCTTGAGGAGGCAGGCATCGACTCCTCTGGCCACGTCCAGCTGGCGGTGCTGGCAGCGTGGCAGGGAGTGGGCGGCGCAGTGGACGTGGCCCAGGAGTGAGAGGCGTTGGGGGGCGACGACAGCCGGCAGTTTATCCGCGCTGCTGTCGAGCACGCCGCGCTCAGTCTTGGCCGCCGGCCCCGCGAGTGGCCCCGGCGCCTCGAGAGAGACCTGCGCTGGCGTCAGGGCATCTGCGCGTACTGCTACTACCTGCGCCTCGCCGCTCTGGACGACTGCGCCACGCTTGAGAAGGGGGGGCGAGGGAGACTCGTGGAGTTGTGCGTCGACCCAGGGGTGCGCGAAGCATTCCTGAACTTCAATGGTCAAGCGTCCAGACCGCGCGTTGCTGTCGGCTCCTGCGCAGTAGCGCTTGCTGCGTGCGCCGCCCTCGAGACTACGGTCATCAAGCGCGGCGCTGATCTCTCGATCAAGTAAAAGGTGTTCAGGCCGTCGAAGGAGGCATCCGCGGCGATCTTCGAGGATCACCACCTGGGTCAAGAATGCTTCGAACGGCGACCACTGGAGGGCGCCCGAGACGTCGTGGATTCAAAAGGGTCTTCAATTTGAAGCGCCGGAAGGGTTTCCGCGGCAGGGCCGCCCGGGTCACCTAGTGTCGCATGGCGTTCAGAGGCTATCGCGTCATGGGGGGGGTCGCTCTGGAGACGGTCGCGGGGCCGCCGACCGCGCCCAACGGCGCGCGTAGTCTTCGGAGGCGGCTCGCCGCCCGGCCTGGGTCGACGTCGCCGTTGAAGTCGAGGTGGCACCCTTGCATGGCGTGGCGCATGCCGAGATGAAGGAACAAGGTGGGGCGCCGCGCGAGGTGTTTGTCAACCCGCCGCCCGGCAGCGCAGCTATTCGGGCGCCCGGCTACGAGTCCTTCGACGAGAGGGCAGAGTGCTTGCGCTGCATCGAGCTGGGCGCGGGCTGCATGGGCGCGCCGCGAGCCTTCCCGATGAGACTTGCCCGGGTCGCGCTCGCGCCAGAGTGCAGAGCCAAACCCGCGGGGCGGGGCCTAGGGCTCGATGTCAAGCACGAGGCGTCCAGCAGCTGTGTTGCGAGTCCCCGATATGCTCTGGTGCGATACTCGCGATGCGAGGGCCGACCGCCGACCCCGCGACGAAAGGGGGCGTCGGCAGCTGATCTTGGGCGCGACGCGCGGGAAGCGCAAGTGCGACCGCGTCGCGGTCAGTTTGAACGACGAGGCGCAATAGACGACCGTGTCCATGTCCCGCCGCAGTGAACTCAGGACGGATGAGGAGGACGTTTCGCCGACGGGATAAACTTCCGGAAGTTTCACTGCGCGTAGTTCGGCTGCAGAGCGGAGCGTCGGCGGTCGTGCGTCGCGAGTTGCGTTCGCGAGTGTGACGCAGGGGGAGGCGAATGCAGCCGCGTGCCGTGAACTATGTTCGCATGCGACGTAGCAGTGCAAATAAGAGAACGCCCACATGAGGCGCACTATGTTCGCACGTGCGATTTAGTGGGTCAATCACATTGAAGGGGCTGTTGCCATGAAGTGCGTTCGTGGAGCAGCAGACCTTTTGGCGTGCAGCGCGTTAGTTGTCTTTCTGGACTCCTCCAGTTTTCTGCGAATCTCGTCCAGCTGTGAACTGTTTATAATAAGGGGCCTGGTTAATATCAGGCTGTGGGTACTTGCCTCCTATCTCGGGATGTGTCAACCTTCTTCGGCTTGCTCTTGGAGCTCTGCCGGGAGTAGTTGTCGCCACTTCTGCGCGCGCCGTAAAAGCTATTCGTGAAATTCGCTCCTTGGGGGCAAATGCCAGGAGCGTGCCGAAATCACGGTCCCCCATCCCGCCGCAATTGTTTGTGAGGCCTCGTTGGTTGTCGTGCGGTTTGCTTGCTGTAACCGACGGGGCACAGGTTGACTCCTTCGAACACCACATTCGAGCCGTCGCCCTCTGATGGCTCTTGGTTCCTTTGCCCTGTCTGGTATTATCCCTTCTACGCGGCCACTTTGTTCGGTGGCACAGGAGGGATCCCTTTCCGTGCCCGTGTTAGACCCGCATTAGGCATGTGTTAACATTTTGGTTCAGCACCGCGCTAAAACAAAACACGACTGTTTTCATTGTCCCGCGGACGCCCGTTGAGTCACGGGGGGGCGGGGGGAGGTTTTCAGATTCTTGGGCCAACCAGATATCATCGATTACAGAGAGGTCGGAGAGGGGCAAGAGGCGGGGGATGCGGCAGGAGGGGTAGGAGGGGGAGGAGGAGGAAAAGGAGGAGGAGGAGGACGCGGATGATAATGAGGAACGATGCGGTGGTTTTGACCCCGCGGCCACGCCACCTTTCGCCCCGTGATCGTGGAGCGCCACATGTCTCCGCTCCGTCTCCCGTGCGTCCTCCCAAGTTCGAGCGGGACGTCGCCGTGGTCGTGGTCGTCGTCGTCGTCGTCGTGCCCGTCGGCCACGCCGTCGCCGCCACTCGTTCGCCAGGTGGGCGTGCGGGGATGGCTGCCTGCGCTTCTGATGACGCCTTCCTGCCCCCGGACCCTTGGGACGCCCAAGGTTTCTCAGGGGCAGCGTCAAGTGGGGGATCGGCACATTGGGGATGCATCGGCCCCCCGTCGCCCACTCATCGCCGAAGGGGGCCCAGTAGCCCATCCCGCCCAGGCCCGTTCGGATCTGATGCCGTCGGCCCATCGCCGACCTTTCGGCACCCGGGGGCGCCGGGCCTCCCCCCCAGAGCTGGGCGCCCTGGGAGAGTTGCCACGGGTGTGTTCGCCTTGTCGCGGGCCCCGGGTCCTCGCCGATCGGTTCGGCTCGCAGAGATGCCGCAGGGGGACGGAGCCCAGATCTCCGGTCTTGAGCCTTTGCATGTTCAGCGTCTTGATCTGTTGGTCACGACGTCGGACCTCGGGGTCGGCCCCCTCGTCTTTCCCGTTCTGGGAGGGCTCCGCTTTGCCACCTGCACCGGTGCTGGCCAGGCCGCTCCTGCCAGGCCCCTCCAGGCGAAGCCAGGGCGGGTGGGCTCGGAGGACGCCGCGCGATCCAGGGCACGATTTTGGTCATCCCGGCGTCCCGATAGAGTCGCCGATGGGTCGGCGACACGAGGCGATCCTACGAGCCCATCTGTCCTAGCCCCAGCTCGGGTGGCCCCCAGTTCCTTGGGGCCCCCAGTTCTTTGAGGGGCTCAAGGTCGGCGGGTACGCCCCACGGTCTATGGAGCCAGGAGGGGGCATACACCATCACACACTGATCCGAGGCCGAGGACTGGCCCTGCCAGGATCGTATGTGCCCCGCGCTCCTTCCTCCCCCTTCCTCTTATTCCTCCCCAAGTCCTCCTCTCCTCGATTCTGCCCCTGCCTCACTCGATCACTCGTCTGACTGCGGTTCCTCCCTGGGTGCGGGATGAGATTGGTGCCCGAGTACGGTCGCGCCGAGGTATAAGATCGAGGTCGGCTCGGAGAGGGTACCCTAATGTTCTCGTGCTTGTTGGATGTTCTTGTGCATCCTGGGGGAGGGCAGCTTCAAATGTTCTTCAGTTCGGCAGGGGAAATGCTTTTTATTACCTAACAGCGAAGACTGATAGGTTTCTAGTGGTGTCAAAAGAGAGCAGCTGATGACTCGACAGGGGGGTCGGGGCGGGACCCGGGGCGGCTGCCGCCGAAACCCAAATCGCTTGGGACATCCTCGCAAAATCGCTCTTGGCGCTGCTAGAACTCCATTCCCGGCGTACATTTTGGATGCCCGGAGCCAACTGTAGGCCACTTCGTGGTCTTCGAGTTCCCAGAACTCCATTCCTGGCGTACATTTGGATGCCCGGAGCCAACTGTGCGCCACTTCGTGGTCTTCGAGTTCCCAGAACTCCATTCCCGGCCCACATTTTGGATGCTCGGAGCCAACTGTAGGCCACTTCTTGCTCTTGGACTTCCCAGAACTCCATTCCCGGGCAACATTTTGAATGCCCGGAGCCAACTGTAGGCCACTTCGTGCTCTTCCACTTCCCAGAACTCGACTCCCGGGCCACATTTTGAATGCCCGGAGCCAACTGTACGCCACTTCGTGCTCTTCTTCTTCCCAGACTTCCAAGACTCATCATCTTCATCATCATCATCGTCCCCGTAGCCTTTTTGGCTACAGCCCTGCTTTCGAAGATTTCCTTTCAAAAGGAACTGCGCAGCGCCTACTGCACACATTAATGCCAGGACATGCTGATAGTTCTCGGGAGCTGTTGCTGCTGCTGTTGCTGCTGCCAGTGTAGCTATTGCTACTGCAACCATTGGCAGTGCCACTGCGACTGCCGCTGATGTTGCCACTGCGACTGCCACTGCGAATCCGAATGCGACTGCGAGAACACCAGAATTCTACAACAGCGCTCTCACATGAATACCACAGGAAACGTTTCCAGCTATGCTTCTACACATCGCTGTTAGGTTGTTTTGCCGGGATAATTTTATGTTATCGAAGCGTGTTCTTCTGTCCTTGGTCTGGTTGTAGGTCCCTTTCCCCGCTTGGAGAACACATGCGCATGGTGTTCTCGGACCGAGACCCCCAAGTTCCCAAGGCGGCGTTCTGCGCCTGTCTTCGCTGAGTCCACTTCCTCTCGGATGATAATCACTGCATAAGCATACGCTTTCGAAGAATTGCGCGGATTTTTGGATCTGCGCCAGATCCCCCTCCCTGGCGCGCGAAGCAACGATGTAAGAAGTCCGCGTGGACCTTCCGAAGTGTATGTTTCGGAGGTTGGGGGGGTGACCGAAGTGAAAAGTGGGGTGCCCAAACCGGGAACTCGTTTCGTTTCTTGTTTGACGTGTCGACGCGGGGCAGAGGTGCGCGAGGTCCTCCCCTGTTTAGGGCCAAGTCGGATGAACATGAGTCGCTCCACGAGCCAGTCGAGGCTCCCAGGTTGTCCCGATGGCTGTCCGGATGGTTGTCCCGACAATTGTCCCGATGGGGGTCCCGATGGCTATCCCGATGGTGGTTCCGATGATTGCCTCATGGTTGTCCCGGTGGTTGTCCCGATGGTTGTCCCGATGTTTGCCCCGATGGTTTACCCCGATGGCTAAACTTGTGCTCTGTGAGATCAGGAAGGTCTTT